TTCTGCTTTAGATAATGTTTCTGGAATATAAAGTTTATTAATATTCTGTTTTGGAATTATTACTTCAGAATTTTTTTGATCAACTGGGATTTTTATTTTAGCTACTTCATGGGCATTAATAGAAATTTTATAATTTTCTTTTTGAGGTTCTCTAAAGTATATAGGAAGTTCAAAATTATTACTTATTAATTTTTTATTAACAAAATCTATGTGAGCTTTAAATTTTAATAGTTCTTTTAATCCTATAATTCCATCGAAATATTCGTGAAAATCAAAAAGTATGTAATTTATATTTCCTGGCGAATTAAATTCAGGAAAGCATGGTATATCAGCTTTAAATAAAACAGTTTTTTCTCCTGTTCCAGTTTTTAAATTTGATGGTGAATGGTAAATTTTATTTGCAAAATATTCTTGTGTTTTTTGAGAATTTAAAATTGAATTATAACATCCTGTATCAATTAAAAGTTTTAACGGGGGTTTACTTATTTTTATATACGGTAAGCTATTATTTATTTCCGTATGCATTTCTATATTTACGTTATAGGCTGATGTAGGCTGACATCTTGAAAATTTTCATTCTCATTATCGTTGGAATAGTAATCGTATTCATTACTTTCTGTTAACTCGGCAAATGACTCAGAATAAGTACTCTCTTTGTATTCATTAGTCATCTGAGAATTTTCATTATCATGACCTTCATTATCACGACCTAAGCTATAATTAAGTTGAGATGAATCATTTAGATTCTCGTCTATCTGGTGTAATTCTTCCGATATAAAATTTCTCGGACCACTTGGTTTAAAGAAATTTGGTTTTTTATATTGTAGACTTGAATTTCTTGATGTTGTTGACATCGGTTCTGGTTTGTTCGTTGGTGTTTTACCAGTTGGTTTAAAAACGTCTATATTTTTTGGTTTTCCAAAAACTTCTGCGTTTGTTGGGAAACGTCTTGGGGGTACAGGTCTTGTCTGTATATTTATAGGTCCTGTAGGAAATGCTGGTTTCGTTTGAGCATTTTGAACGTTTGTGTTATTGTCATTATAATTATAAGAATTATTAGTTGCGAAATTATTAAATGAAGTATTTTGATGCAAAGTTTTATATGAATTTTGGAAATAATGGAAGTTTTGTTCTTCTGTAACTAAAGATAAAGCTTCTTCAAGACAAGTTGGTGCTTTTATTCTTATTATATTCTGTAAATTGAATGATAATCCTCTTATAAAAGTTCTTAATGTTGCTTGTTCGTATTGTCTTAAATATATTAATTTTGTCTGTTCGTCCATTTGTTGTATAGTGAAAGAGTTAATTTTTTGAACTAGATTACTTCTTAATATTTGTAATCGTTTTCCAAAATCTAAAGGATTTTCGTTTTTATTGGGCATGGCTAATAATAAGTCTTGTTCTAAACATTCGAGATTTCTTTTGTCGCCAAAGCAATCTATTAGTGCTTTTTTAATTTGTTCCCATGTTTTGAGTTCTAAGCGGTTTCCTACTAGAATTTGTGCTCTTTGGGTTAGTTTAATTCGTACTATTCGAATCAAATAGCTTTTTAACGCTTCGTCGTTTGTTACGCCGTACGTTTCGAATAGAAAATCAATTGTCGATATAAAACTTGTTAAGCAATGTGGATTTCCGTCGTATGGTGGAATTGTATCAACGTACATTCGTAATAACATAAAATTTGGATTATTAGTCGTCATTTTGATTTAGGTTAAGTCAAAAGTTCTTTCAAATGAAAATAATTAATTTTCAATTTCAATACTCTAACTATTTTTAATTCCAATACTGTTACTTTAAGAATAGTATTTTAGTAGAGTTAATTAACAAATTGTATAATTAATTAAATAATTAATTAATTAATCTAAAATGTTTGCTCGTATTCACCTTCAATAATTATTATTCTTCCAGTCTCAGTAACAATTATTATGATTATATTTAATCTAATTGTTCTCATAATACTGAAAAAATGAGATTTTAATTAATTACGTTTAAATAAATTTAATTTTAAAATTTTGCGCTTTTAAAATTATTTATTTAATTAAAACAAAAATATTTTAAATCTAAGTTTCTTTTCTAAATCTAAATATCTTTTAATTAATTCAAAAGATTTAAAACAAAAATATTTCTAAATCTACTCTTTTTTTCTTTCTTAAATGCTAGTTTCTTTAAATTCTTTGAAAATTCTTTGATTTTCTTTTGTTTCTTTCTTTGAAAATTCTTTGATTTTCTTTTGTTTCTTCTTAAAATCTAACTTAATATTACTTCCAATCTCCTAATCAGGGAAATTAAAAGGATCTTGCAAAAGGAGTACTGGACTCACCTGAGTGATTTTTCTTCCTCTGCTGTTGAATCTTGCCTTCGGTTTCTGCGTTACCCAGACCTTCTTCTGATCAGCAACGGCTTCAAACTTGGTTGGTGGTTGAAGTGTGGTCAATACACTGATCCGCAACTGATCCGTTCCCGACTGCGCCAATTATATTTCTCCGAACGTTGAGCGTGTTTTAAAAATATAACTTTATTGAGAAGGTAGGTAATACAGTACTAAAGTTTAACACAGGATCGTGAACAAGATTGATTCTATATAGGGATTACAAGCTTTTATATATAATTTAATGTTAACATAAGCATAAAACTATTCTAGAATATGGGTGGCTTCGTTGGCAGCTTCCATTCATGGGATGCCCATAACTACTGGATAAATTTTAAAATGGCATATTTATTTTATCTTTGTTTAATATAAAAAAAACGAAATATCTACCTGGTTTACATAACCCTGTATAATTTGTGAAATAATAATGGACAAAAATGCAAGCGGTAAGAAAAATATTTACAAAAAATATGTACTTGTTTACATTTCTGGACCATTGTTCGTCATTTTTTTGTTATCATAATGGTGACCCTATCATAAAAACGTAGTTATTTCTATACCTGATGAAACTATAGGGAAAAAGTAATGTTTGTAAAATATTTTAGTCTTGAAAAAAATAAGGAATGTTTGGTATTTTAAAATGTTTGGTAGCTTGTAATTTTTTCTGACTTTCTCGATTATTTATAGTTTATAATAAGCCTTAAAATTGTTGTTTCATAATGGAATATCATTCTGGAATTCTGTATGTTATTTTAGATTCTAAGGATGGTTTTAGAATAAAAAAGAAACACATTTTTCATAATAAAAAGCATTAAATTAACCAATGCCCAAGAAAAATAATGTCTACTACTTCATGTACTTAATAATGTATCTACTCGTTATATTAATAACGAGGTTAGTAAGAACTTTACGTAAATGATAAATATAAAAAATACAGATTTTCCAGGGTTTTATAATTTACTAAATTATTATCTAAATAAGCGCCTTTCTACAACGCCACTGACGCCAAAATAGTAAATTTGACTTACCTGTGGAATGTTGTTCCAGGACTTAAATAGTCCAATTTCTTACAAATTTGGCACTGACGAACCATGTTTTATAGTTTTTTAAATAAAAGGTAATCAAAATAAACACTAAACCGACACTACACACTAAGAAAATCGAATCCAAAAAATATACAAAAATCAAAACATCCAATAAAAACAATAAAATAGCCATGGCGAAACTGTGACAACAAGGTTTTACGACACGTGCTTTACTCTACTATGGCTCTACTACGAGAGAATAAAGGAATGAACAGGCGACCCGGCGATTGATGGGTGTTGCCAAATTAGTGTAAAAGAATTTGTCATTTTAAATAGTCTCCGACTTATAATTTAGTAGTATAGGGACTATTTAATACATCTTTCTACTATTAAACACTACTTTATTAAAATACAGTTTTAATATCTCAATATATGTGTATAACAACAAAAAAAATATTAATAATATTTTAGACGTGACAACATAGGCTGGAGGCGAAAGACTCAGACGGCCGAGGTCAGCTGCACCCAGGAGTAAACATGTTTACAAAAATTAATATTGGACCGCGCTTAAATGTAAATAGTGTAGTCTATATTTTATTCTAAGTCTATGGTCCAGATGGCTGGGAAATGACGATTTATATCATTTCCCATAGCCATCACCGACGCCATTTTTTTTTCGATCATACGGTATCTTTCGATCATACAGTAATTTTATATCTAATACACTTACAAAATTCAGTTTTTTAGTATTTGGAACAATAATTATTATTAATCAACGCAAACAGTCAATTAATGTAGTTTGAATACTGGGATCATATTAATCGGTCCTCCAAATATTTAAACAGTTTTTTTTATTTTTAAATGAAATAAGCGAATTATATCGACAATATTAGTATTGGGTACTCTACTTGAAAATTTGGTACATCTTTAAAAATAATCTAAAATGTCAATATTCCATGGGTATATTGGTAACTAAGGTCTAAATTATAAGAAAATGCATTTTCTACGAAAACTTGAAGAGATAGATAAAAAATGGTATAATACAGTTTGATAGACAAATTGTGCATTTGATTTTCGTAAAATATATAGGGTGTTCCATTTAAATTAAACAAGTTATAGTCGTTTAAAGCTAGTAATTATTTAATATAAATTTTTAGACACTCTGTATAAGGTATTATTATTTTTATTATCGCAACACAATATCTGATCAATAAATAAACTTCAGTACAAATTTAGTATTAAAAACTTTCATACCTTGGAGAAATAAAGCCTTAAATTTTTTACTACAATTTTACAAAATTGAATATTATATTATTTCAAAAACAGTAAGGTTTACGTGTGATAAACCTTAATCAAATCTACCTTTATTTCAATCATAGAATCTAAAAATAAAATAATATACAGGGTGCTCCATTTAAAAAAAGTCTACTATAATATTTTTTATTTGTTTGGGACACTCTGTATATTGTAAAAATATTTTTAAATTGTAGCTCCAGTAATCCTTCAACGAACCCAAAACTTATAAGTTGTAAAAATCTAATCGTTTAGCTACTATATTCCGTGTCATATGTAGTGAATAACCCTGTATAATAAAATTAACATTTTAGACTGTACTGGCCAAAAAGGAAGTGATCCTTTCAGCCGGTGCCATCAACACTCCGCACCTTTTAATGTTGAGCGGTATAGGACCTGCAGCGCATTTAAAGGAACACAATATTCCAGTACTTTACGATTCACCTGGCGTTGGACAAAATCTTCAGGATCATATTGCTGTTCCTATCATTTTCCTTATCGATCACCCTATTTCACTGGTAAGTTTCTTTTTAGTATTATACTCTCTATAATAATCTACAGATCTCGATAAGAGAAACATATTTTCTCCATACATAATGTAAAAAAGGATAAAGGCACCTCAATCTCATATTTTGATCCAATAGAAAATTATAAAAAAAATGATTAACCCAACATTTGTTTCTTCTTAGGTACTCAATCGCTTAGTTAACATTAACTCAGCTCTAAGATATGCAATCAAAGAGGATGGTCCTTTAACTTCATCGGTTGGATTAGAAGCTGTTGGATTTATACCAACCAAATATGCCAATAGATCGGACGATTGGCCAGATATGGAGTTCATGATTTTGAGTACTACCATTGCCGCGGACGGAGGTATGTATATGGCTAAAGCTAATTTTTTTGACTTAGAAATACAGCCATTGGCTTGGTGCATTCTGCATTCTCCGCCGGTGCTGCCATCATCGGAGAATACCGTACAACAGCCAACTAAATAAACAGAAACATGCATAGTCAAAAAGTAACTAATTCTAATTGAAAAAACTTTTTACTAGTGGAATAAAAAAAGTGTGTTTCCATTTGATAAAAATTATTTATGATAATTTTTTAATCGCTCAATTTCATGACAGCTACCGCCATTATTATATGACATTTGAACAATTTAATTTTTGAAATAGATAGCCACATGTCTTCTCTTTATGTCACAGTGGCTGTGGTAATCACTAAATTTGACTTTTAGCCTATACAAATTTTTTTGACAGGTAGTTTTTTTTGTCCAAAAATTTTTAATATTTTTTTTCTCAAAAACGGTTAATGTTAGGTATAGAGTGTTTAACATCAATATTCAAAGAATTTTACAGAGAATTTAACTACCTATGTAATAAAAAATGGGGGTACCGATTTAAAATAAAAAGTTGCTGTCAACATCCGGTATTTCCGGAAGTGCCGCCATATTGAAAATATGTTTAATTGACAGATCTCTTTGCAAAACAATGATGTGCAAAAAATCTCCAATCTAGATATTGTGGTTCTCTAAAAACTTCTAATGCACACTTTTTTCATTTGACGTTTAAGTTAATATAAAATTTACTAAATTATCTTTTTTTAAGTTTGATCGGTCTAGGGGGGTAGAATGTAGAATGAGTAAGAAGGGGGTTAATCACTGCGACCGTAAAGATCTATTGTACCCCCCTTCCTTGAATCATCACACAGTCTATAACCCATCACACCCCTGTTGTAGAGGGGACAGGGTGTCCTCTGACAACAGTTCTTCCTCCGACGGTACACACCCTTCCACGGTTGGAGTGGTTGGAGTTTGGCCCTCCGTGCCGCCCTTCACAGTCGAGGAGCTTGCCTCCGGCTGAGGAACCCGTGAGGTGGAAGCTGGGGGATCTGTCTCCATTTTTTCTACCTCTTTAACTTGGTCTCTCCTTAGACCTGATACCGGTGTTGTCCCGTATCTATAATAGAGGATATGTCCCTCTTTCTCTATTGCCTCCTTGGATTTAAGGCCAATTCCTATTGTGAGGACCTGACCATGACCCTCCTCCCTCGAGTTGATGACTCGCCAACTCGATGTCCTTACATTGAAGTTCTGACCCTGGATAAGGCTCAGCAGGTAGGTGGTGTCTTTCCCCTTGCTCCTCGGCAGAAAGACCGTGATGGCCGACGGTTTAGAGATGTTTTCTCCCTTCACTGCAACCAGTTCCGGCCATTGACAATTTTTAAGCTTAGGTGCGATTTCCACTAACCAATTCGCCGATTCTTGAGATACACAATCTATGAGGATCATGCCCACCCGAAAGTGTATCCCCGCAAAACGCAGCTGACCCACATTTTGTAGATCGTTGTGTTGCGATCCGATCGCCACTACTTCGTTCAGTATAGCCTCTTCTAGAGACTATACGGTGATCAGGGCAACCTCTGGGAAATCCTTTGGCAGCACCGCCATTTTTACTTGTCCAGCAATAGCGGCAAAGCTGGTGATACGTCCCTGCTTGCCTCCCGGTGTTGGACGGCTTCCCATCCTGGTTTTTTCTCTCCCTGCCGGGGAAGATGTGAGAGGTTCTCCCTCGCTCTCCTTCGATGGAGATGAGTCAGGTTGTTTCTTGGTTTCTTTACTCTCCCCTTTTCGGAGTGTTTTCGCCTTTGCTTCCTCTGGAGCAAATCCTTCGTGGAGCAGACGCCGCGCCGGGCAGACGAAACGGTAGCTTTTGTCGCTTATTGGGTCTAGAGGTAGGCTCCCGACCCTTGCTGGAGAAGGTGGTAGCTTGTGTGCCACTTGTGGAGGATGATCCCAAGCAAGTGTCAGCCGCCGTCTAGGGGGGTAACTACCCCCATTACCCATTACCCCCGCGTAAAACCGCGCTTGTTTCTGCCGTACCGAGCGCTGCTATCAAAATTTTTAAAATCAATTTAAATGCACCAAGCCTATACAAGACTGAAGTGAAAAACACAATCCATCAGAAGAATTTCGAACTTAAATTTAGTTAAAAGTAAAACTGATCTGGGCCTTACAGGAGTAGTCTTGGTCTTTTACAAAAAGCAAAATAAAGGGCAACCAAAATGGGACAATCTGTAGCTACATATTGAAATAAAACTTTGTTTCAGGTTCTCAAGTGAAAAAAGCCCACGGCGTATCGGACGAATTCTACAACGAGGTATATTCCGACATCAACTACAAGGACACATTCGGCATATTCCCTATGATGTTACGACCCAAAGCCCGCGGAGAAATCAAACTGCGTTCGAAAAACCCACTAGACTACCCTTTACTCTACCACAACTACTTGAACAATGAACACGATGTAAACGTACTACGTGAAGGTGTTAAATCAGCCATAGCTTACGGCAACACCGAATCTTTAAAGCGTTTTGGAACCAGGTTCTACGAGAAACAGAACAGAGTGCCCAAATGCAAGCATTTGCCTCCATACACCGACGAGTACTGGAACTGTTTTGTGCGACAGTACACTCTTTCGATCTACCATTACTCTTGTACAGCTAAAATGGGGCCACAGAGTGATCCCTACGCAGTGGTAGATCCCCAGTTACGTGTTTATGGGATATCAGGATTGCGAGTAATCGATGCATCGATCATGCCAACGATTACCAACGGGAATATCAACGCTCCTACGATAATGATCGGAGAAAAAGGAGCCGATATGATTAAAGATTATTGGTTTAGGGTGGGTAGAAGAAAAAAGCGACATAACGAAGATGTTGAAGATAACTTAGATGTAGTATATAACGCTAGACTGATAGATGAAGGATACTTCACTAGGGTAGTATACTAAGTAGAGTGTGTAGATGTGTAGGAATTTTTGTGTTGTGAACTTTAGTATAAAATGTAATTGATTGCCAAAAGATAAGTAATAGTAGATTATATTAGTATATGCGTAAATAGACAAAACTGTACTGACAGTAAATTTTATGTACATATTGACACTTTCATGCCGAAGTATCTAAAGTTTTATAAGCCAAATAAATAAATAGATAGGTGTGTTCGAAGAAACTCTCAAGGAGTATCTTTATTGGGATTTTTTTTCGTCCAAAATTTTTTAATAGAAGGTGGGTTTAATAATGAAAATACCAACTTTTCTTATTTTAAATTAGCGATGGGAACTATCGAATGAATTAGACTATCGAATGGTTACTGAATGAATGATTTCAACTATCGAATGGTTTTATTCGAATAAAATCATTCATTCATTTGTATACTAAAGCATATGTGACAACCTCGCCGTGCGACTAAATGGTTATCGTTGAGCCACGACTATCGAATGCTTTTGATAAATGAAATTTAGAATTTAGTATTCGTTTGATTTTTGTGTGCGTCAGTGCATTATTAGTTCTTCCAAATTTTTATAACTACGACGTATAAATAGTGTGCTATTTTTTGGCGTTTATTAAAATATTTAAAATACTAAAATAGTAGTTTTTTTAATTGACGATTGTGTGCGTGTGGAGGTGGTCAAAATTTTTCCGAAAATTTGTGTGATTTTCCGTAGCCCGATCTTTCAATTATTTAATTTTATATGGTATATGGTCTATTTTTATTGGGTAATTTTGAGAAGTAGCAATTTTTAAGAGAGATGAGATGAACTTACAATTAATTTTAAAAATACATATTTGTATTTTAGAAGTTTTAATTTTTAATAATATGAATTAGTTGAACTTAATAATCATATTTAAGTAATGTGGTTAAGTAAATGATTATCGAACTCAAACTATGGGGTGAGAAAATTAAATTGAAAGTTTACACGTGCCAATTAAAAAAAGTTAACGATGTTTGTATTTTGTTTATGCTAATTCTCTTACATGTAGTTTTTGCGAAGAAATATTTCATTTATTTTTAAAGTAAATGCCAGTAAAAGTAAATATATTATTTTTAAATAGTAATATAAAGCACCTAATATAAATAATTTTGATTTCTAATTTTTTATTTATATTTTCCTTCCATTACACTGCATGCTTAGAAAATTAATAAATGTTGATATTTCATGATTTTAAAATTTGTTGTTAATATAACAAATTAGTTCTGTAATTATTATTATTTATAAACCAACGTTGCCACACAAAAAAATTAGAGACTATATTATTTTTAGATAGGATCTAATATAAATAATTTTGACATCTAATTTGTTGTTTATATTTTGCTACTACTTAAAAAATGTTTATATTAAATGATTTTAAATTTTGTTGTTAATAGGTATAACAAATTATTACTGTTATTATTATTTATTAAACCAGTCTTTGCTTAAAAACATTAAAAATCATTTTCCTACATCCAAAATAACAAGTATTATTGCAGTGTAACAACAGAATATTAATAAAAAGAATGCAAAATATATAGACATACTATCCCTAACTAACTAAAGCCAAACAATAATATTCTTTGCTAATATCAACTAATACCAATATATGGCAACAGCGCCCTTTATAATATATTTTCTGTGTAAATACTAGCACCTCAATAAAAAAAATAATGTGTCCTTATCTTTATCTGACTCCACAAAAAATCAAAGATGCCGCCTTCTTTCATAGCATTGCCACCGATCGCTGTCGGGTTTCTCGGAAAGAAACCTACGTCGCCGGGCGACAACTAAAATCCAGTTAATATTTTATTATAATCGATCCTGACCAATAAATGAATTTCATAAATGATTGAATTTTATAAATGAATGAATTTTATAAATGAATGGTTTTTGCTGCCAAATTACTAGAATAAAATATTTCAAGGCAGATGACGCATCTATTCGATAATTTTTATTCGAATAGTTTTCAACGAATGTTTTCTTACTAGCTATCGAATTATTCGAATGAATTGCAACTATCGAATGTTTCGATAGTATTCATTCGATAGTTCCCACTACTATTTTAAATACAATACCCGGTTTGCTAATCAATTTCTAGATTCCTGACAAAAGTCTAGATATATTTCACGTACAATTGGCGCCAAATAGGTTGATTCTCACTATATCTTCCGTCCCATTCCATATCAGTTCCATATTTTTGAGTGTATTCACGCTATACGTATGCTTCCGTGCCGTAGCAGTTCCATACTTTTTATTGTACAATTTATGTCATTCGGGAAGTTTTATTTTACAAATTTGTATCTTTTGAAAAAGGTAATAGATTTAATTAGGAGATGAAAGAATAAATAACAACAGAAATGGACGCGATTAGAAGAGCAATGAGAATTTCACGGAGGGATAAGATCAGAAATGAAGACATTAGACAACAGATGGGAATAGAGGGAACAATAGTAAATGATATAGAACAAAAACAATTAATATGGTACGGCCACGTTCAGAGAATGCACAATGAAAGAATTCCAAAACAAGTCATTCATTGAATACCACCTAGTAAACGAAAGAGAGGACGTCCCAAGAAAACATGGATGGAAGGAATAAGAAGGTCGATGAGCGAGAAAAATCTGACCGAAGATCAATGGGAAAATCGCACAGGGTGGAAGTTAGGCATCGGACAACGTCGTAGGACGTTCTGACACGAATTTATATATATATATAAGAATAAATAATAAACAAAAAATAAATATCAGCAAAATGTTAAATAGAACTGGTACAAATGTAAGAACTTGACAACGCTGTTTCCGATACGCTTCAGTTCGTCCGCCAAAAAAATGTATGGAAGGAAAGAATATGGAACAGAAGGGAAACGGAACGGATAGTGTGCATTGTCCTAATCATTTACATGATATAATATTTTATGTAAACGGAAGGAAAACGGAAGGTAGCTGATACGGAAGGTATAGTCAGAATCAACTTTTTTTTTTATTGTCACTTGAATATCGTTTACTACATTTCTAACTACATATTAGGCTATACCGGGTAAATTCCAATTTAGGTAGCTTTTATTGAAATTTAAAAATTATTCTTTATTTTTAGAGAATGTTAAATACATATGTCAAAAACTTTGAGCTCTTCAAAAAGTTTGAGTTTTCATTTTAGTTATATACTTCTCTAATGAAACTCACCTTTATTTTTCTCCTAGAATCCAAAAATCAATTAATATATAGGGTGTTCCATTAGAAAAAACACAACTTGGATGTGTAACTTTTTTTGGAGAAACCCTGTAGAACTCTCTATATTTTTAAAAAAAGCTCTAAATTAAGCGCTCACAAAATTTCATTTTATTTCCGTTCTCCTTGGCGCTACCCTGTATTTACGAAACAGTTGAAAATAAGAATAGGACATTGGGCATGAAATTTTGTGAAGAATCCAAAATTCTAATCATATTATACATCAGGCTGTTATATATAAGATAAGAAAATTATATACAAAAACACGTCCCCATTTATTATTAAATTTATTCTATTTGGCTGTTACACACTACATATATGTTTTTTTTTATTTATAGTTACCAAATAAGGTAGTAACTTCACAGAAAAACTTTCATTTTGTAAATTTCCCATAAAACTCTCTAGTGTATTCATTAGCGTAACTAGCAATTTATCCTGGGGTGGGCCTGGGGGGGGGGCCTGTGGTTGGGCCCAGGGGAGCCTAGGGCTTTTGTTTTTTTTAAATTGAAAAATAATTTAAAAAACACGTTTTTTTAATGAAACGTTTACATGAATTTCTCTATCAATAAATTTCATAGTCTTGGTTATCAAACCGTGTTCTCGTAGATTACTTAAATACCTACAAATTTTCTAAAAAAATAAAAATTAACACAATTTTTGAACACAACAAAATGATATTAACTAAACAAAATTAGAAAACGTCATTTTTACTGCATCACAAGCAAATAAAAATTAATACATAGCCAAGAGTCATAATTCAGGACTTCTTTGGGGGGTGCCCAGCAGTATTTGGGGAGGGGCGGCACCCCCGGGCACCCATGTAGTTACGCCAATGAATGTATTGTGTATTTCTGAGTTAGATCGAGACTGTAAGTCACATAACAGAGTCAGAATTGGCACAGAATACTTAGTTGTGTAGAAGTTTCAGAAAGCATTGCCTCTGCGTGGTCAAATTTTCTGTCCCTGAACTCACATATTACAATTAAACTCATTGGTTCATTGAAAAAATGCCTAGATTTTTAATGAAAACTTCAGAAAACTTAAAAATATTGAGAAAAATTGTTTATTTAATACATATACTTGTTATTTAAATTGTTATTTAAAAATTGTTATAATGCAAATTTCTAAAATATAATAATTACAGATTTACAAAAACTCACAGGAAACGAGTGTGTTGTTAATAGACTGGATCATAATACTATCCTCACTAAAATGTCCCAATTCGGGTTTAGTCTAGCCTAACCTAACTGCTGTTGATTTTTTGAGTCCTACCAAAGAATATTATAGTTTTAAGAACTCTCGTGTGGAAGCTTTAGTGATTTGTCATACGGTGGCGCTTTTGAACATAATCGAAGCCTGAAAATGCTAATATTTTAAATTTTGAGGACTACGCGCGGCGATATTTCGTACGGTGTTGCCAAACATATTTTATTTCTTGATATTTAAAGAAATATGTATTGATTATATATTTCGTATATTCGATAGTACATGAGGCATCCTAAGGCTATGAAAAAAAAACGTAGCTATGAAAATAAAATTTTAGATTTTTAATTTTTTTGTACCTTCTAATAAAAATTACTTCTATTCCAATAAAAAATTAACTAGTATGATTATGTGTTATCTGTGCTAGTATTAGGAAACTGGAGTAAATACGGAGAATATTAATTCGTTCTCCAAGATGAGCACTACTAAGTAATTTTTTAAAATTCGACCCATAAGGGGGTGTAATTAGATAAAGGGATGTAATTATACAAAAAAAAAAAATCTGTACCTACTAGGAGTATGAACTTTTGCACAGATGTGACGCATTTGAACATTAATAAGCGATTTTTGGAAATGTATAGCCTAAGGGTAGTGAAAAAAAAAGTGTTAGTTCTAGGAGTATGAAATTTTGTACAGAGTTTCCTTAAGTGACGAAAGTGATTACCTAGAAGCTAATTTTTGACATTCATCCCTTAGAAATAAGGGATGAAAATTTGTACAAAAGGTTAAAATCGGTTTTAGAAGTATGAATTTTGCAGACGTTCCTTATGTAACGTAATTTAGCATTAAGAAGCAATTTTTGGAAATTCGCCCTCTAAGGGTGTGAAATGAGGGGTTGAACTTTCTGGAACAATAAATTCT